TTTTTTGTAGCACTCCATGTTGTACGCCATGTTGAGTATGTTCAGAAGAATATAAAGCCATATAAATAATAAATATTTGATATACTGTATATTTTTTACATTCGTAATTCATTTTACACATAATTTTACATTATTTTTGGGAGTAAACTAATTTAAGCAACAAAAAAACTGAGGAGCCATTTGGGAGCCGAAAGAGCCGGCTCTTTTTAGTGAGCCGAGCCAAAAGAACCGGCTCTCTAAAAAGAGCCGGAATTCCCATCACTAATGCGTACCGTGACTCTGTCATCGATCGAGTAACGTTTCCCATTGAAATCAATGGAAATGCAATTACTCCGCTCCACCCCCCAAATTACTGTAAGTTATATTTACATGTTATGGCTATCATTTACATTTTATGATCCATATATCTATCTAGCTATCTATGCAGTATGAAAGCAAGTGAAAATAAGTGTAATATCTGTTTCTTGTATGGTGTGACGTAATCGAAAGTGGAGGAGCCAGGTTGGGGGAATATTGGCTCTGGCAGTTAGTCTGAGTGTGGAGCGCATGGGCGTGAGTTGTGGCTAACTGCAACTCCTATGAATGCGTGTGTTTATTGCTTATTTTGTTTATTAAAAACGATGAATTGTATCAGCGACTGCGTGCATCCTTCTCTCCGCTACTGAAGGGCATTACAATATATTTCATTATAAAGAAATAACACACGAAAGAAACATAAGTTCCCTCTCGATCTTGATCTCTCGTCCATATCTTCAAAATGGGCTCACAATATCAACACCTTTAGCTTGAGAAAGAAGAGGAAAAAGCACTCAGAGACAGCTGCAGGCACAGTTCCATGAATTTTTTTTCTCTCCCGGGGCTAAGGAGGGCTTGACTGATACATAGTGGGACTGAGAAAATAACTTGCTAGAGGGGCGACACAGATTTCTGACTGGGCTTTAGAACCCTTTCCCCCGGTGAGGCGCCATCCCTAGCCAGCTGAGAAGTGAGATTGCTCCAGCACACCGGTGTTTTTTTCAACCAGGAACTGTCAAGTGCTCAGGGCGTGAGCAGAACTCTCACCCACTTTCCCACAATTAAAAAGCTGTCAAAAAATAAATACTCAACAGATACCTGAAACATCCATTAAAGTAAAGCAAATACGCGTTTCTACTTAGTTACTTCCTACTATTGGACATATAACGCTGGTGGAATTTCTCCTGCATACAGTGCTGCGGCAATTTACTCCATAGCTTTGGTTTTATTTCTTCTGTTCAAGATGTTGCTTATTCATGTGGAAATGTCGCCATCTAAAGGCGGCAGTCGTCTCTTACATCAGGTAAAATATTTATATATTGTGTCCTCTATTTTGTTTAGGGTTTCAACCTAGTTACGGCGCCTTTACTCCCTTAAAAACACCACAAATAATCACAATTTATGCCCATAAAACACCCCATTAAATCGATATATACTATCTAGTGAACTGTGCCACAATCTCTTCCTTCACTAAATCAATAATGATCAATACTAATCACCAAGTTCTATCATCGTGTGGGAAGAACACTGTGAGGTTCCAGTTTTTATGAATACATGTGCTCTTTAAATTGTAGTGATTTCTTTTCATCTTGCAGAGCTTCATGTTAGCTTCTGCGGTGCAGTGGTACTGTTAATGTTTTGAATGATGCGTGTGTGCCCTAGAAGCTCGTATTCACAATATCAGTCAGGCAAATACAACTACAATCTTCGCTTTGTGTCTTACATATCGCTCTATAGAAACACAATGAGAACGGAACTAAATAATGACACCATGAACATGAAAGACATACTTTATAAATCAAATGTGTATGTTGTATAAGTCTGCATTCCCGAGCAAATGCCACGTCTGTGTAATATAGATAAAGTATTTTTTTAAAAAGAGACCATCTATCTATCTATCGATCGATCTATTGCAAGGGAACTTTTTCCTGTTTTTGACTCCGAACTACAATTCCCAAGATGCACTGCGGGGAGCTGTGAAGCTGGAGTCAACCGTCTGGTTCAGACACACATACACGTTCTATCGTGAGTATGTGACCAATTTGCGTTGTTTCTGGGAAGCCGTCAAGCGTCCATAAGTAAACACTGTCGGACCTGGTTTTTGTTTCAAGCCGCCTTCCTTCAACATGGGAAATGGAATCAATAAGGTGAGTGCTCCTCGCACTTGAGGTGACAAGTTACCAGGACGTTCAAGTGTAAAGGCAACGCCTTCTTAATACAGTACTGTAAACAGTTTGGGCACATATTCTGATTGATGCTTGTTGGAAAACGTAACATTCAACATGTGTTTGTCCATGAAGCCGTTGCCTATGGTTTTGCTATGTTATCAGCTACAGTATTAAGCAACTGTCCACTCTGCTGTTGTGATGCTGCCGTTCACTATGCTTTGCACCTCTCTTTCCCCTTCAGGTCCTGCCTTACTTGTATTTGGGAAATTTTAGAGGTGGGTCTTGCTGCAAATCTCTTGTGCGTGTGACATTTTATGTATATTCTTTGATGATGTGTTCATGTCAGATGCCAGAGACCGAGAGCAGTTAGCCAAGAACAACATCACCCACATCTTGTCCATCCATGACACAGCGGCACCCATCCTCCAGGTATCTATTTTCCGCCAACCAAAGGGTGGTTCCGGCCCATTAACTATATGTGGCTATATGTGAGTTGGTCATCCAATGGGAGGGACAAGAGTAGTGTTCAAGTGCTATTTAGTATTTTAAATGATTACTTTGGAATCTATTTTATTGCAGCTCCAGATATATTTTGTCTCAGGACAACTACAATTTACACAAGCGTCATGGTCTGTATTTTGTGCATTGATAATCACAATTTTCATAGGTCAGTAGAACAATGCGGGAAGATATTTTTGAGCCAAATTTGTGCACCCCTCTGTGTTGGACCATTTTTGTACCTTACATAATTGTAGTATTTAAAGTCCGATTTTGTGCCCTAAGTGTTTGACACGCTGATGGAGAGTCTCCTGAGTTGTTTAGTATACTTACATGCCGAAACTTATTTTTGACCAGTTTTACTCCCTCAATGTTGATTAATGGAGCCGGTTCTGTTTTGAATTTCCTCTTGAGTCAGCTGTCCCAGGTAGGCTAATTGTTGCCAACAGTTACAGCATTATCAAAGTCAATTATGTTTGTGAGTGCTTACCTGGAATATGACTGACTGTTCAGGATCTTTTAAGTAAGCTTATTGGAGGTTCTTATTCATAATCAATGCTCATTCAATGCTGCTTACTCCCACTTGCATAAGATTGATTAGTTTTAGTGCCAGTACTATCGCCTGCTTTTCCAAAAATGGAAGCATGCCAACCCATATCTACTGTAAACACCAACTATACATTAACCTTCCAAAACCACACGTAAATGTGCATCTTGGAATTCTTACATCTTGTCAACAAATCTTTTGTGTAATGTGAAAGCATTTCATACAGTGTTTCGACTTCCATATATCTCTAGCTGTTCTTTTGTTCCTTTTAATCAAACTGGTTCTTTCACATTTCAATAATTAGGCCTCCATCTGATTGTTAGCGTGATCGTTTTTAATAAACCACTCAGCTGAGCACAAACACACACATGCTGTGAAGCCTCTCCATAACTCCCGATATCATCCCTGTCTATACTTAGCTCCTCCTGGACAAACAACATAGTCAAGGTTCACTTCTTCATACTCTCTTGACAACAATTAGTACGTTCCTCTATGCATGCATTTTGGCTATGTCTTGTTGTATCTTGGGGCAATAGAGATGGAGCACAAAAAACACAAATAGGTCACTTAGTGAAGAGCAAACCATAAATAGGTTAAAAGGCATCAATTAACAGTCATTCAATCAATGTTCAACACTGTAAGCCCCGCCCCAAAGGTTCCTGAACTTTTCGAGAGTATGACCCCGTGAGCAATATCTTCTTTTGACCGTGGAACTATATTTAGACAAAACATGACACTGGTTCAAACACATAAGAGTCGTCAAAAAATTCCTAGTCCCACCATACTGGTGTTTTGATTTGACATTTTTGTGTTATTATGCAGTTACCACTACGAAAATGTTCTAGTGACCTGGTAGCACTCTCCAAACTGAACATTGTAGTTCCAGAAACTAGGGCTGTTTGACCCTTTAAACAGGAGTGCACCTTCCAGTCTGTCAGGTTGTTCAGGAAGTTGCAATGGCCACCCGAGCTTTTATAAGTACAGCCCTTGACCGCGGCAGACTGAGATACAGAATGCCTGCAAATGTTTGCTTTATTTACTGTGTGCATGTAGGCGGCTCCTGATGCTGCAGCCAGTGTGGATCATTAGCATTTCCTCCTTGATCCTAATTGTCGCTGTGCTAATTAAACACCTAGTACGCTCTGTCCCCCAGGAGATGACCTATCTGTGCATTTCAGCGGCCGACCTGCCCACAGAAAACCTGTAAGTTCCATACACACACAAACACACACACAGTGCTCAATAATAAATGACAACGAGAAAAAGGACAGTTTTGTTTCCCGTTCCGGTGCGGCAGTGTGGGTGACAGGTTGTGTTTCTTCAAGCTAAATGTGTAAATGATATGCCTCCACAAGCACACGATGTACTTTGGCCACATTTGGGCTTTAAGGATGGATGCATGAGGAAACATGAATAAAGGTATTTGTTTCGTGTGTCTGCATTTGGCATTCGGGAGGTATGTTTGGCATTTTTCCCCACAATTTAACAGCTAACCCCTGCTGCCAAAATCCACTCATAATTGACGCCCTCCAAAAAAAAGATTTGTAATCGTGTTATAGATGCCACAAGATGGCGGCCGTTTGAAATGGAAAGCATCACAAAGCACAACACAACACTATGCTTCAAGCATGTACGCAATCATAAGCGCTTTAAAATTACGAGGACAGATGCGGACGGAGGACAATTATTGTATTAATAACAGACGGAAGGGTACCGAGGTTGCGGACAGAGGACGGACCGGCAAAATTGGGTAAAGTGCCCATCTCTGACTACTACTACTACTACTACTACTACTACTACTGCTTTTATTGCTTTGGCCCGAGGACAAAAAAAGTGAACAGGGGAGTTTTTCGTGTGTGTGTGTGTGTGTGTTTGTGTGTGTGTGTGTGTGTTTGTGTGTGTGTGAGTGTGTGTGTGTGTGCGTGCGTGCGTGCGTGCGTGTGTGTGTGTTTCAGTGTGATTGTGTCATTGCCTGATAATGTTTCAAACAGGGTAGACCAGGGTCACATTCTCACCATCGCTTTATAGTGACTTTGGTTCTGGCCAATCTTGCGGATCCTGTCACGAGCAGGGAAACTCAGTTTGGATGAGGGTGTTACTGAAAAGATCCTCTTTCCTGCGTAGCAGTGGGGCGCAAATGCAGTCGGGCTCGGTCACAGGAATGTACATAGAGAGACAGAAACCAAAAGATTGAATTGGTTGTTGAAATTACTAATTGTGTGTAGGCCATTAAAAAGTCATTTTTCTTTCATATGTCCCCCTGAAGTTGGGAAGGAAGTCTCTCTGCTCTCTTTCGGCGCTATTTATATGCACCCGTTTCACATGCCATGTATGAAGTCATGCATTTACAGGACACACACACACACACACACACACACACACACACACACACACACACACACACACACACACAAACACTAATACTCTTGTAACCCTTGACTGCCCCATTTGCCTCCAAGCCGTGTTTGAAATGTAAACTGTGAAATCTGACTCTAATCCCAGCGCAGCCCCATCTCGGCCCTCCAGGTGCAAAAAAACACACCCAACACCTCCACTGCCAAATGTTCCTCTCCAGCAAGCACGTCCAAAATTGTGCCCCCCCCCCCCCCAAATGCAATACAGAAACATGTCGTGAGATTTTCTTTTTTTGTTGTCGACCTTCACAGGACTCAACACTTTAAACAGAGCATCATGTTCATGCATGAGTCACGGCTGAAAGGAGAAGGCTGCCTGGTTCACTGGTGAGACAGAAACAGTGATGTCATATCGTCAATGTGTCGCAACTATAGACTGGCACTTTGCTTGTACATGCAACTGAAACAGGAGCCAAGTATTCTCTCCGTGTTTAAACAAACGTGCTCCTCATTTAGAGTAGCAAGTACTGGGCATGTGTCAAGTGCTGCATAATAAGGAATATCTTCTTGAACTTCCCAGAAGAAGACAGTAAAATGAATAATTGTGCTTCTGTGACAAGGTTGTGTGCCAAAGCGAATAGATGGGGCCCAAATGATTGATTGACCTACCTGATTTATTTGCCCAACATCTTGGAAAAGAGAGATTTTTCTCTCTGTTGTCAAGTTAAACAAATACTAAAGATTAAAGTCTCGGGCCCTTCTAAATTTGCACTTACTGGTCACAAGAAGAACAGGGTTTATCTCGCTTCTTGCTCAAAGTCAGCAGTTCTGGCTCACCTGTCATTTTAAGGCGAAAAGCACTATAGAAAATGGATGGATGGTCACAACATTTCACTGAATGAATAATTTCAGTGGTGTAGAAATTGTATCACACTGGGAAAGGTTTCTAATATTATGATCGTCAAATTTAGTGCGGGCGGCCCACTGGTCCAGTGGTTAGCGCGTCAACCTCACAATGCAGAGGGACTGGGTTCAATTCCAGCTCCGGCCTCCCTGTGTGGAGTTTGCATGGGGTCTGCGTGGGTTTTCTCCGGGTACTCCGGTTTCCTCCCACATTCCAAAAACATGCATGGCAGGCTCATTGAACACTCTAAATTGTCCCGAGGTGTGAGTGTGAGCGTGGATGGTTGTTCGTCTCTGGCTGGCAACTGGTTCAGGGTGTCCTCCGCCTACTGCCCGAAGACGGCTGCGATAGGCTCCAGCACCCCCCGTGACCCTTGTGAGGATAAGCGGATCGGAAAATGGTGGGATGGATAATTTGGTGACACAGGATATTCTCTCAGTATGACAAAGTGTTGTTGTTCAGTATATCCTACACGCTGCATCAAGTGTCTCCATGTAATCTTAATAACAGAATACTCTATATGGAATAATATAGAACTAACAGGGCTACTCATATTTACATAACAGGATGTGTTTTACCTTTGGGTATTTTTTTAGGCTTCTGAAATTAAATTGAGCGTATGAGAAACGTTCAACATCATGTGTGCTCATCCCCCTTTCCTGTGCAGTCTGGCAGGGGTGTCCCGCAGCGTCACTCTGGTGGTCGCCTACATCATGACAGTGACCGGACTGGGCTGGAAGGAAGCTCTGGCTGCAGTGAGAGTGGTCCGGCCCAGCGCTGGGCCCAATTTGGGATTTCAGCGCCAGCTGCAGGAGTTCGAGACGACTCATGTTCATGAAGTGAGTTAGGTTGCAATTTTGGGCTGGATATGCAGTAACTCAATGTATCTATAAATTGATCTGAGTGAGATGTGAGTGAGACATGGCATGCCGGCCTGCTGTTGTGGCATTTGCCGCTGCATCTAGTGGCGATGTATCTGATGCCCGCTTGTATTTAAAATTTTGGCTCGCAAGTCAAGTCAACTTTATTGTCAAATGTGCTCGATGTGCAACATACAGAGCAGATGAAATTTCTTTCCTCTCAACCACAGGAGCAAAAAAAGCAACAAAAAAAAAAGAGATGATTCTTAACTTATAAAACAATTATGAATAACTCTTCAGTAAATTGGTGCACTCATGTATCTGATTTTCATCCACATTTGGAAGAGACCTGTTTTCAATTGGAAGATATCCAGTTCCATGCTTTTTTTATTCACAGACCATGTCATCACCCTCCTAAAATAATGGCCTAAGTCATGTTTTTAAAAAAAAACTTGAAAACTGAACCAAATGCAGATTAAATTATATCCAGAGGAAAGACAACGAACCGTTGACTTGGAGGGGCAACCAAAAGGACAGTGAGCTCGTTGTGGTGTGTGTTGTGGGGCTGTTTGGGACCAACGGAGAAGCGGGACGAGTCTGCCGAGTAATAACAACTGTTCATTACTGTTTCCTGGCCGCTGCACGTAGCAACCAGCTTTAAAACGACATCATGAAAGGTGTCCGACAGCCGCATGGGGAGAGGCGGGCTTTTAGTGAACCAGGCGTCTTACTTAAACATCCTCCAAAATAACTCATATTTCGGAACAAATTAGATCGTCATTGTGCTTAAGGTAATATGTAATCATTTAACTGTGGAAAGCTTAAGATTGCATCAGATGGCCTCTTTCAGGTTGTTCTTTATTAAAAAAAAAAAAAAAAAAGTGGTTTTGCTTTAATTTAAAAAATGTTGCTTCTTCTAGTTCAGGAAATGGCTCCAGAGGGAATATAAGGATACCAAGTTCAACGATGAAGCAGATATTATGGAGCTGCTTGATTCTTCTAAAGCCAAAGGTGACCAAGTGGAAAACTTGGAATCGAGCTCACAGGGATCTCTCTGACATCATTTGCAGCCACGGCCACCATCAAGCTGAGAAAGCACCGCATAAGTCTGAAATGCTGGACTGCTCGCACAAACACCAAGAACTTGTTTTACCATTGATTGACGTCCTAATTTATAGGTTGCGCTACGCTTCCGCTGTTTTTTTTTTTTTTGTTTTGTTTTGTTTTTTTTTTTTGTACAATGTCACTCCGATTTCAAATTGAGAAATAATAAAAACAGTCCATTTACATTATAGGGGTGCTTTTCTGACTGACTGAATGTCTTCCTGTTTTCTGATGTGCATGAGAGATCATGTGTGGCCACAACAACAACAACATCAAGACAGTGTTTCTTTGTCACGCTCCATTTAAAAAAAAAAGGAATTGTATTAAATTTGAGCACAAGTGACCCCTCAGATCTGTAAAATAAAATATTTGTGACTGGAGTTGTATTGCTCTGCTGACGTTTGTGTCCATACAGTCAAAAATTCCATTGAAGGGAATCCCCACAGCGTTGGACTCTTGAGTGGGGGGGCCTTGTGCTGAAGCATGGCACCAAGAAGATCTTGGCATGTCAGGCTCCTCCCTGCTCACTGCAGCCAATCAACAAATGAGAAGACTGAAGAGTCAGACACTACGGGAGAGTCCTTGCAGTCAGGCAACTATTCTGGCTAAAGGTAAGCCACATCTCATGGTTTTCTGTATTCCCCCCTTCGTATAATGAGAGGATAAATGAGCTTCAATATCCCTTTTGTACTTCCAATATCTGATCATATTATGGGTTTTAAATTGCTTGTTTTGTGGTCAATGAGCCAAACTATTGCAGGCATGTTAGATGTGATGTTGATGTGTGTATCAAAGTGACAAAGTACACAGTACGGCTTGGATGGATTTAATTGAACCTTCTTGATCTCAAAAGCTGACGTTCACAAACTCTGTCGTGGCCCAAAGTGGGTCTTGTGAGGATTATTTTTGGGTCGTTGATTGTCACATTAGTTAAAAAATAAATGTTTGCCTATTATGTTTTTCTTATTGGTTCAGGTGCATGTAAATGTCAAAAAATGACAAAAACTATATTGTAGACCTCTTTGAGGATACACTGCATCATATCTTAATCATAGCAAAAGTGACAGAATACACAGCATTCCTCATCTGGTTGAATTGAATCTTGTAGATGCGAGTATGGCTCTGGAGCAGGAGTTTCCACGCTCAGGGTCAGTGTCCAAAATGGGGCTGTTGGTTATAGCAGCAGTTATATAGTAGCTCATAGGGCATTCACCAATATGAGTTGGAATATTGATTAACAACAGAAGTGTGCAAATATAAAACAGCTACAAGGATGACTACAGAAAACACGGCATGGCATAGATGGGCCAAAGTATCGATCCCACAATGATGAATGTCACTCATTGTACAACAGAGGTTAAAAAAAAAGTGGTGAGGTGTCATATTGAACTTTTAATTCTTGTCTCTTGTGTTTCTACGATTAGTTCACGTGCAATGTCGTGAATGTTGATGTGATGGCAAGAATTAGCATTTTAGTTCCCGGCAATAAACTGCATTTCTAATTTGCGTCTTGCACTTAAGATCGAATGCCCCATCAAGGCTAAACAATCCTTATATGGATCACCTGCACAGATACCCACATTCTGTTTCCAAAAATATTCATGTACTCAAGTACAGAAGCTACAGAAGAGTGCAAAAAAATATATATATAAGTCATACTGCAACCTGCTTTTCTGCTTCAATTGCCTCCCACAGAGATGAGCCTGGTGGAGGACAACGGCCCGGCAACGGGCTGTTGCAATGGCAAACTCAGGCAGTGGCTGATCGATCAGATCAACAGCAGGCAATACCCTGGCCTGGTTTGGGAAAACCATGAGAAAACCATCTTCAGGATTCCTTGGAAGCATGCGGGCAAGCAGGACTACAACAGAGAGGAGGATGCTGCGCTCTTCAAGGTCACACATCTGATTTCTATCAATGTTTTCAGGAAAAGTCATTGTTCACCGCCTACATTTTGGGTATGTATGTTTGGTATGGAGGAACGTGGAAACTGGCTTATTCGGTGAATGTTCCAGGCGTGGGCTTTGTTCAAGGGGAAATATAAAGAAGGCGTGGACAAGCCAGATCACACCACGTGGAAAACCAGACTTCGCTGCGCCCTCAACAAGAGCAACGACTTTGATGAGCTGACGCACCGAACCCAGCTGGACATCTCCGACCCTTACAAAGTCTACAGGATCATTCCAGAAGCGGCAAAGAGAGGTAACGTGAAAGCTGACAACCGACTCCGACGAGGCAGGAAGCACAAAGGAAGTTGAAGCCTGCACCAAAAAGGGCATAGTGCTTTTTTTTTTTTGGTTTTGTTTTGTTCTATGAGCGCTTCAGCTACCAAGTGCAGTCAAGCAATTAAGCATAACTAATTCTGTCACAGCATTTCAGCACACTTGCAGAACGGAATGAGAAGCAAAACGTAAGCTGCCATGTAAATGTTGAGAAGTATTAGCTCAACGGTTCAACATATTTGGGGCCTGCAAAACCTTTTATTGATGTACACTGTACACCAGATGACCAACACAACTAACACCATACAGATGATGATGATGTCTTTGATTTTTCAAGGCATGTATGAAATGTCCACTATACTCACCCAAACAACAAATTAACCACATTCTGTCATTTTTTTCCTGTGCAAAATGTTCTCTTAAATAGAAATGACCATTCAAGGATGGCACAAAACTAATGAACGAGCCACCAAGTCCAAGAACTCATTTTTTAAATGTTTTTGCACAAAAAAAAAAAAAAAAATCAACTCACTCAAAATTTTTAACATTATTGAGGTACGATGTTTTTTCTGGGTATCATTCCAAAGTACCCCCCCCCACCCCCCCATCGCCCACCACCTCCCAAAAAATATTAGGCCTACTCACACTGTCAAATAGGGCAGGCCAAGATCTTGTGTGAACACAACTAACACATGTCTGCCATCTAGTGGTGATTGGTGATATTACAAATTCAAACTACATTCAACCCCTGCATATCGACAGTTCAGTACCAGTGGGTTTGCCTATTCATAGATGTTATGTTTTTCAGTGTTTTATTTATTTTTCTATTTCAGCACATCCCCCCCCCCACACACACACACAATTTCCATCTTTTTTCCATGGAATACATGTATGGAATGTTTATTAGCATATTTTTGCATATTTCTTTCAATTTTTGAAAACAAAATTAAAATCATATTCACTCTCTCACTCATCACAAAATGTAATCCAGGTACAGTAACAATACCCAAGATGAGCGTCAGTATGGAGGATGCATCGCAATCTTTTGGTTTGATCTCCTCATACTCAACAGCAAACAGCCAGGTGAGCGCCTTCAACCTCAGATCAACCTCTGCTCTGTTGGAAACAGATTTCATGATCCGTCTGCAGATGCAAACACACGTGCTTCCACAGGAGATAAGAGACTGGAGGGATTACAAACCTGCAGAACAATACCCCGTTGTTGCTGCTGCACATCACTGTGGATCGCATGGAGAGCTGCCGTATGCTCAGTGTCACTTCCCTTTACCGATGAGCCGAGCTTGGCCTGAGCCGCCCTCAGAAAACGGTAAAATATAGCCAACACGCTACATGGGTGTGCAACAATGCCTGGACTGTAACAATTTGATAGTCCTTCTGTCGGACACATCGCAGGCTTTCCGTTCTCCTTGCGCCCCTACTTGTCAGAGCCCCAACAACCTTTGGCCATGACGGACTACAGCAGTATCATAGCAGGTCGAGAAACATGACACCTGGGCATCACATAACAGGGACTCATACAAGCCCCATGACATCATGTCTCTTTCCTCCAGATTGTAGCCTGCATGTGTCCCTATTCTACAGAGAATCTTTGGTGAAGCAGGCGACCACCAGCAGCCCAGAAGGTTGCCACATCACCCCTCCGTCCTCCTCCTCGCCACCGCCATCTTCATCCTCCTGCTTGCCAGATTTTCACAGCGGGGCGGATATTGTTCTCTTTCCGTTGCCGTTCCCCGAGTCTCAAAGGCGGGGTGCAGAGAGGCTTGCTGATATCCTGGAGCGGGGAGTGCTGCTGTGGATGACGCGTGACGGCCTGTACGCCCGGCGCCTTTGCCAAGGACGCGTCTACTGGGAGGGGCCCCTCGCTCCCAATGTGGATAAACCCAATAAGCTGGAGAAAGAGCTGCCATGTAAATTGTTTGACACCCAGCAATTTCTGATTGGTAAGCAAACTCAAACGATGATTTTGGTACACTTATTATTAATGTAACATCCATCTTCCATTTTGTAATCCGTTTATCCTCACGAAGGTTGCAGGCGTGCTGGAACCTATCCCAGCTGTCTTTGGGGAGTAGGCGGGGTAGACCCTGAACTGGTTGCCTGCCAATTGTGGGCACACATAGACGAACAATAATTCGCAATCACAATCACACCGAGGGACAATTTAGAGTCTTCCATAAACCTGCCTTGCATGTTTTTGGCCCCCGGGCCATTGGTTGGAGACTTCTGCCTTACAGGATAGCAGACTGATTATTTTTGTGTTGAATCAAAATCAAGCATTAGCTTTTACTTTGGAAAACAATGATCAACATTTTTGCCAATTTTCTGACACCTCACAGAGCAAATCTGTGACTCAATCTTAATTCATATGTGTCTGTGCATTTTATGCACCGTCAATTTGGAACAATGTGTCCGTTTTTTTTTAGTAAAGGGAAATGAAAAACTGTTGACAAAAATCAAATTGAATGATTGATTTTATTGACAAAATAATCAATAGTTTGATTATTAGAATCATTGGAAATCGCAAACCGAGTTTATTATATGCAAATTTTGATGACATCATAAAACATGAAACATTTTGATCATTATTATTATTATTTTTATAACTGACAACTTTACAGCAGAATGTGAGTTTGATTTTTTTCCTCCGAGGGATCATAATGAGAGTAATACATTGGAAACATCTCTCTGGATGTGATACAAACTGCATGCATTCTATTTAGATGTATTTTTGACATGTTTGGCTCATCGTCTTTAAATTACGATGACGCAGGGAATTTGGCTGCCTCTCGTCAGCTGATCGGCAAGCTGCGAGAAGCCCGATAACGATCTTGATCATTTGAATCAGGTGTGACGGAGACGACCGTCGAGGACACCCGTGAAGAGCGTCTGCGCTCACGTTAACTTACTTTATTTAACAACGTGCTAAACGGCGGCCGCGTGCAAAGTAGATGACGTAATTTTCAGCGGTCGCGTTTTGTCGCAAGATTATGGCACACGTGAAAAGCAAAACGGGAGCTTCGTGTCTTTTTTCTTCCCAGGGTGGTTCAATTGCGTCTCATTACAAATACTCAGGTAATGACGCTTTAGTTTTTTTGCGTGCAGATTATCTTGCCCTTCTGAGGGCGGAAGTGCACCGCTTCAAGTGTTAAAAGACACACGTTCGGGATTAATCTTAGAATTTTATCATGTTTGGCTTTGAATATTATCAGACGTTGATGTTAATGTGTTTGTTTAATTTTTTGGGGACACATTCCAAGCGTTAGTGTGTGTGTGTGTGTGTGTGTGTGTGTGTGTGTGTGTGTGTGTGTGTGTGTGTGTCCATATATATATATATCCACACACACCCTCTTGTAAAATACGGAATATGTTCGACACTTTGAGTGCAAGCCCATTTTTTAATAATTTCCATTGGAATGGTGACCACAGCGCATCCTATGGCCTTCAGCTGTTTGCGAAAAGTGCACATATTTCCGATGACTGAAGATGGAGAAGGCTTATTTCATGTCCCCGACAGTGTTGAGGCCAAGCACATTCTTATCGTAGGGCCACCCACCTTTTGTGGTCGACCACAATGACAACACATTGTTTTTCTGTGCAGTTTCACGCCCCAAATTGTCACCAAACCCTCAAGTTGCTTTCAGATAAATTGTCTGACAAGGAACATGCCGTGGGGGGGAAACTTTCAGATTTTCCCTGTCCTCATAGCAATAAATCTAATCGTAAAGCAGATCATTGAAAAATCGACTAAAGTACAATAATGATGTATTTGTACTTAGTTACTTTCCACCATTATAATGATCTATGTATATCCTCTTGTCGGTTCAATCAGAGCTTCAAGATTTTGCCCGTAATGGACGACGTGTACCGCCACACCAAGTGGTTCTCTGTTTTGGAGACGAGTACCCCAACCCACAGCGTCCAAGAAAGATGATCACAGCTCAGGTACTCACGCACGACATCACTTGCATGTATTCAAAATCACATGAGCAGTTTGCGAAAATATTTTCAGTATGCCTTCTGACAGCAATGTGCTTTGACATGATTAACATGCTCATGGATTTATTAACATTCTCTATTCTGAAGCTTTGGCTGAATGGCAAATTGTGGCCATCGTTATAAAATGGAAATATATCAATCGAGGTGCGCAAAAAAAACCAAAAAAACATTTGTGTGGTATTTTTTGGGTGACTTATCAATATCAAACTTCAACATCAAAATATGAAATTAAAATGTTACCTTTTCTACTTTAGTTAATGTACTGTGAAGCGTAATATGTGACTGAACATATTTTTAAAAGAATCTTTGTTAACCCGGGAACAGGCAAACACTCCCTCCCCATGCAATTCTACATACAGATATAACGTCAAGGGAACTGTGACGATAAAAACAAGTATTCCACAATCGCTTGTCATGTATCATGAAAAACATTTCTTCAGTTTCAACATCCTATGTTTTCATGAATTTAAATTCATCCCATGAGGACTTTGTAAAAACTGAAACGGCCCCCTGACAGGAAACTGGCACCCCGACTACCCCTTTCAAGGCCCCTGCTTATGTACGTATAAAAGTCAGCGGTAACCAACATATTTCACACGTAATTTCCTTTTAGGTGGAGCCAGTTTTTGCCAGAAAATTGGCCAACTATTACCAGAAGAGCAATGACGACTACTGGCAGACTTATCAACACAACCAGGAACAGAACACAAGTCCAAATCCCCTCCCCCTCCCATAGACCCTCGCACATCAAGGAGTGACACATACAAGTGCAGCATTTTTTCACAACTTGAAATGATAGAATGCAGAGAATCACCTACCGAAACCCCCCTGCCCCCCCCACACCCCCAGCACCCCTTGCACATAGCCGAGTCTTTTTATGTGTTACTTATATGAGTGTTTGTGACTGTGTGTGAAGGATGCGGTTTCCGAGCGAGGCTATGAGGTTGGGGCACTCGAACAGGAAATGCTACCGCAGGTGCACAGGATGTACAACCCCTCACAAAAAAACACAGGGATAACGCAATTGTTTGAAGAAATATGTACAAGTCCTCTCATAGCATTGGAACGACAAGGTCAAATTCCCGAGTGTTTGTACTGATGACATTTTGGGTTAGCGAGTGAAAGATGAATGTGAGACGAAAGTTGAGAATTCCAGCTTGCATTTCTTTGAATCCTTCCTGACAATGAGGGCACCACTGCCAACTGCTGTAGTGGATGTGCGATGACACTTTATTCTATTTTCTTCGGCAAAAAAACGCATGTTCCCCAGAGTCGCACGTAGCCCTCCCCCCCGGATATCGCACCAGGGTTAACATACATGGCAATTTTCCGCGGATCCGCGGAAATCCACCGTTTTATTTCTTAAATTGATCATTTTTGTGAATCGTCTAAATCCGTTGAGAAAATTTTAGGGGCGGTCAGGTATCTTATCGTTCAGGATGTGCGATGACACTTTATTCTATTTTCTTCGGCAAAAAAACGCATGTTCCCCAGAGTCGCACGTAGCCCTCCCCCCCGGATATCGCACCAGGGTTAAGGACTGTGTTAAGGTATGGTGATTGACTTGGCCAGTGCAAAACTTTCCATTTTCCCTCCCTAATGAAGTCCTTTGTTGAGTCGGCAGTATGTCTTGTTGCATGATGAAGCTTCTGCCGATTTAGTTTGGATGCATTTGTTTATAAATTTTCCCACAAAATTGTTTTGGAGACTTCAGAATTCATTCTGCTGCGACCATATGGCCCACAAAGTCAGTCATCCATGCCATACTTTTGAACACTGACATTGAAAGCGTAGTTGAGAACACTCACTCAGAGCTCAAAACAGCGATGCTGGGAAAGGTGACAATCGTCTTGCTGTTTCCCCTTTAACCTGAAACTAGCGGCCATACAAATGGGAAGAAAAACTAACTTTGTGGCTTCGGTCAGGGAGGAGCTGTCTTGCTTCCTGTGACTTAGTCGAGCTACACCACTGCATTAAAATTGAAGCGATTGTTTGTTCTGGATTCCAACAACCTCTCTTTAACAATAACTGAATGGTATTATGTTATCATTCATAAATACGGTTGAAATCCTGTTCTGGTCACAAGTTGTATTGTGTGCTGTATTATTGTGGTGGTTCAAGAGTTTCAACAGTGTTTACTTCCTTCTCATTCAAAACCACATCACTCTCAAAATGGCTCGTGCGCGCTAACCAGCAACCCCGTTTTCTCATAATCCATTTGTTGCAATGATTTTGAATGGAAATGGAATTGGGTGAAGTTGTGTTCATATCACTCACAGTTTTATGACTATTTAAGGTACTTGACATTTTTTAACTTAAAAAAAAAACAGATGGTAATCCCCCACCTACACCACCATTTATTGACGTAAAAACATTCCACTGAATGACAGAGCGAGTCATGAAACAAGAAATGCTGTACGGCCATTGATCTTTAGCCTATTATTACAACGCATCAATGTTTTTCGGTGAAATATAAATTGACCACACTAAGTTGTACTAGTTTGTTTCATAGAATATAAACTGAGAAAGATTCACTATGGAAACAAAACGCCCGCTGAAATTTTTTTGTTTTTGTTTCACATATTGGCCACGCGTTTCCCCTTTCCCCTGTGCAGGAAGCCACCTTGTTTGTAGGGTGTCTCAGCCGTTACTTTGCGTGGCATCACCTTCATTTACCAGACCTCAAACATCACCACATTGTGGCCTTTACAGAGAAACGAAACTGCCCTCGGTCCGTGCGTGCAGCAAAAACATTTCTTCAATGAAAAATTGCCCCCCGCCACCAGGCAAGTCGTTTTGATACCTGCGCAGCAGAAGCCTCTAGTGGGGGGAAATCACAATAGCAGTATTTGATCACTTCAAACTGCAGCTGCATGAATGTGTGTACACCAAGAATGTGTTGTAATATGATCTTAAATGACTTTGGCGCAATTATCATTTTGTTTAGTTTTGTCGATCGTTAATAGGACAGACAATGGTAGCCTAAGATTGCTTTTTGCTCAAACTTGACTCTCCAGCAGAGTGTTGCAACATGTGGGAATATGGCTAAAGAGGGATGTTTTTTTTTTTGTTTTTCTTTATTACAAACTTCCCCTTTAACTTGAAATGAGCTGTACTGTATTATTCATTGCACAAAAAAATAAGTTTTGGTTGACACACCAAATCAAGAGAATTTTTGGGAGAGAGAGAAAAAAAAAAGAAGTATGCACAACCTGAAAATGTAAAGTTTTGGGGCCTAAAAAAACAAGGGTTGGATTCTACTGCGAGTTACCTTAACCATCCCACCACTGTTGTT